GGGGGGGGGGGGTGCGCACCCCCTGCACCCTCCCTCTAGATCAGCCCCTGCTGTAGATTTCAGTGTAATTTCTGACTCCTGCGTACCTAATGAGCAGTGAATTCACACTCAAGGTAGTCATGAACTTTCTGCCAGCTCAGTTTTCTTGAGTTTGATGTAAATGTCTTTAAAACAATTTTATCCATTCAAAGTTTTTTCAATCTTATCGAATACAGAGGAGTTATCGTGAAACATTCACTGTTCATTACGCATGCCGGAATGCAGATCTACTTTGAGACTGGTTGCGGCAACGACTAACGGTTTCATTTTTCAAATAATCGATTCATTAATGCAATCTTGGGGGATACGCTTAACCTGCCTTGACTCTGCCTTGGGAAACATTGAGATTCTCGGGAAAAAAAATAAACTTAACTTTATGTTTCCGTCTGCATCAGTCATCAAGTGTTTATTTTAGGATTTTAGAGCTCTACAACGAATACAAATCTTGGCGGACGGCGGGCTAATCGGGTCTAGTTGCCCGTAAACGAGGCCACGTATAAGTCTCGTCGTAGACCGGAATGAGTCTTCTGCCTCCGAGGTAAACAGATCTTTATTGATGACGCCATAAAAATTACGGGATTTGACGTTGGAAATACTCGCAAAAAAAGCATCTAAAAGGTCTACTGGCTAAAAACTAGCATTTCGGGGCAAATTTTCTCAGAGAAATTAGTTTCGCCAAGTTATGCTCTAATAACTCTATACGAATCCTTCTAAATTTGCCTCTCTTCATTCTTTATAACAAACAAAACGGAACAAAAAATAAAACAGATCAAAAAGTCGCGAAATTTTACAGACGTTTGGTTAAAGGCAAGATCTTGCTCCGCACCATACAAACTTCCATAAAATTGGGCGACTTTGCAGAGCTATATCTTCGTTAGTTTTTAACAAATCCCGTTAAATATTGGCATCTTTACCAACTGTGACCCGTTCTTTTTAGTCGTGTTGACGTATTTTCGCTTGCGTTGGTCCCAGTCAGTCAAAAGTTGAAAATACCGTGGAAGGGTCTATTGCAGCGCCATAGAAATTCGAGTGTCTGTCCAGGGGTGGGGAATTTTTCGTATTTTGTCATTCTTAAAGGTGATTCTCTAGTAAAAGAACCTAACATAGATTATAGTTGAAACTTGGTACACTGATGTAACAAGTCAAGAAGATGATAAAAAAAGTCATAAAAAGTGGGGGTCACCGTGCTCGTTTTGACGTCACAATGCTGACAAATACGGCTATTTTGGACCCTTTTACAAAAACCGCGGGCAGCCCAAAACTCGACAAAAAAGGGAGATTTTTTCGATGATGCAAGTGGTATCACACAGAATTTGACTTAAATGTATTGTTTATCCACTTACGTACCGGAAAAATGCCTTTTAATGCCCTTGTTTTTACTTTACGCTCCAAAGTAGAATTAAATTGGACGCGCGCTATTCGACCCGTGATAGCTAAATCCGTACAATTTAGTAAAATTGCCAAAAAACTGAACATAGATTTGTGCCAATGTTTTTCTCATCGAAAGGAATCACTGTCCTTATTAAAATCCTGAAATAAAAAATGGGGGTCACCGTACTCGTTTTTGCGGTAGAGCTGCAGAAAGTGCGCACCAAATGCGTTTTCTCGGATTTTTGAGAGAGGACTGGGGCGAGTTTCACAATAGAATGTATGTGAAAGGGGGAAGAAAGTATTAAAAAATCCGTTTTTACATCGAGATATCACATTTAGAACACAATGTGATAAAGAAAGCGTTTAAATGAGAATCAAAGTGAGTAAGCACAAGTTAAACATCCACTATCGAGGTTCTCCGAGAGGAAGTTGAACTCAGCAACACGCGTATTGCTTACGTTATGCACATTCCCGACACATTGCGTCTCCCCTCGGCAAGAAACAACAGCAAATAAACAAAAATTCCAATAGCGTTTCTCTTCAGTCAACTTCATTTTAATAATATTACTTCACATGCTCCTTTTTACGGCGGCCATCTTGTTATGCGCAGTGCAAAACCAGGGAATCACCTTAATGTCTTCTATTACTTTTAAAAGGGAAAATCTGACAATTTCGTTTCGAATTCTGCGCAAAGCGAGCCAACCTGGGCCTTGCGGCCGTTTCTCCTCGAGGGGTTTCCTTCTTTACAAATCAGTTCTCCGCGGTAGCAGTGCTTACGGTTGGCTAGTGGGGTAAGAATGAAGGGGTTTAGTTTCTAAATAAAAGAAATTGTGGTGTAGCTTCGGTGGGGGAGTGAAATAGAAAAAATGGTGTTATCGTCTGAGTTGATAAAGTAGACTGGTCACCTGACCGTAGCTAGGGGGATTTAGAGGCCGATGTTTCGAGAGCTAGCCTTCGTCAGAGCGAATGTAAGAGATTTTGGTTTGTGTGTTAAGGCCACGTTTTGAAATAAATGTTTCTTTACGATGTATGCAATGAAAGATGATACAACGCGGATGAAGAAAAACACGAGAGCTTTCACATAAAACGAAGCATTCATTAATGTTGAGTCCTATTGACGTTTTTAATGTACCCTACCTATTGAGACATATCGTGCAGTATGATACATCACTTTGTTGTTAAAAACATATCAAAATAAACTAAATTGGTGTTACGTCACTCTTATTTATTGAGATATTTGACCGAAGAACTACAACTTATGCCTGAGGAAGGATAATTTGTAACTGAAAGCACTCAATTAGAAATAATAAAAAAGTAGGAATAACAAAAAGCTCTTGCCCGGATGAGAAACATTTCTGTCGTGTTTACTTGGCCTAAAAGATACCGGATGTCGGAGCTATCTTATTGATAGAAACATGGTAATAAAAAAATAAGGCAGAATAATCCGTTGAGAAAAAGGAAATGTTACAGTGCAACTTTTCTAAAACTTAACACGTGAAAGATCACTGAAAGATCATCGCAGTTATGTATTTAACTTAAGCTGCTGTGAAGAGAAAGCCTGAAAAGTAAAAAGTCATAGAATTGAGCGATATCGTGACATGCGGTGTATCCTCCTTTCATAAACACGTGACTAACACTGATGACTATTTTTTTTGTCACGGGTCTCCTGTCCGTCATAAATAGGGTACGAACGCCACTGATATTGACGAGATAGAAAAAGGTTTCTCTTCAACACTATACAGTGTAAATCGCCGATAATGGTAAGTGTTAGTACATCGTACACCTTGTATTGCGATAAATGTTTTTTCTCCTTGAAGGGGATGTTCATAATTTGTATGTCGTGATCAGTCAGTTCATTTGGTTTTAGCTTTGGAGTATAGTGGCGATATTTTAAAATCGGTTGGGACCCGTTAAATTCCAGCATAAAATTAAGGACAATACATAGCAAAAGCAGATAGTCTGGCCTTATTCTTCGTTCGTAGATTGATCATCCTTGACCTTCATGTCCTTCATCAGATGATACGTTACAGATCACAGTGTACTGAGGCTATCAAATCAAAATACCTAGCTAACAGCATTATTCTACTCCTTTCAACATCCCTGGTTTCAACAAACCCTGGTTTCAACGCTAACGAAATCAACGAAAGAAACAGACAGACTCAAGAATAAGTTTCAAATCTTTCAAAAGAAAAAAGTGAAACTTGCTTTACTAAGAAACACGGGGATGTCATCGCCTCCATGAACACAAAAATTGTTTTGTGACGAGCGAGCAAGTCACTTGAGGTGAAGTGTCATTCTTTAAAGGGGAACTGACGTCACGCCTTCTGAGTCTCGAAATTATAGCCTAAACTTTTCAAACTTGGCGTTTTGGCGCCATGTTTAACTCTTTTCTTGTCCTTAACTATCCCTTTTTTATAGTTGCTATAAACTTTTTGTTTATTTTCATTTTATCCGAACTATTCCAGTGCTGAGGCGCGCAAACGAAAACTTCCAATGGATGCAAAGAATCCGAGTTCGATTCAGCGGAAGTTCGATAAAGCAAGTTGAAATTTACTGAAAATTAACCAAACGTTATCATTGTCTTTTCACTGTTTATGTTCTTTTTTTTCGGAAGCAATGAGCCCCATCACAGCAACTGATTTTGGTCTTACAGTGGCCTTCTCACTGGTAGTTATAATAAATCTCCTTGGTAACGGCGCGGTGTGTTTCGTGGTTTTACGGTATCGCGGCATGAGAGCACCTATTAATTACCTGCTGGTGAACCTGGCTGTGTCAGACATGATGGTGGCTCTTGCTATCACTCCACAGTACGTCATTAGATGGACATTTCACCACCCTAACGGTACCGCAGGAGACTATATGTGCAAGTTCCTTACTGGAGGAAACTTTATTTGGATTGGTGGAGCAGCGTCTGCATTCTCTTTGGTAGTGGTGGCAGTGGAGCGTTATTTTGCCATTGTTCGTCCCCTAAGTGACCGCTCCCGACTAACAAACAGTCGATTAACGTCCGTTATAACAGCTTCATGGATTTTTGCTTTAGTTTTGAACACTCCGTTGTTCTTTATGCTTTTCTTTGATAACAGGAGTTCTCACTGTGTGGAGCGTTGGCCAAACAGACAGCTTGGTGAACGGTACACAGTTGTATGTTTTTTTGCTTTTGGTGCCATTCCGGTCTCCGCCATGGCGTTTCTGTATCTACGAGTTCTATATAAACTTTGGAAAACAGGTATTCGAGCAACAGTTGTGTCAGAACAGGCCAGAGTCCGTGCAAGACTAAAGGTGACTAAAATGGTTTCTGTCGTCAGTATTATGTACGCTGTATGCTGGCTACCAAATCTGGTAGTTTATATGCTGTCTCAATTCGAACCAGGGAATTACGGTTACAGTTCATACTCATACATAATTTCCGTTGTACTTTTGGGTCTTAATTCAGCCATAAATCCTTTTATTTATGCTCTCCACAGCGCAAACTTTCGCCAACATATCAGGGGTGCTTTGTGTTGTAGGACCTATCGGGCAGTAGACTTTCTCAACCCTTATAATAGTGCAAACATTTCTGGTATAATCAGCAGTGGAAACTTATAACTTAGCTGTCAACAAATACAAGTGGCATTTTTCATCTACACTCAAGCCGTTTAATGAAATACTGTGGATGTGCGGAATTGAATATTAAACAAATTACGGTTTAAAACAGGAGTACCAGGAGAAAAACCTCTTGGAGCAAGAGCGAGAAACAACAGCTAACTTTTCTTATAATTCCTTTTAAAAAAACTTGCAGAAACGTTTACATGAAAAACAAAAAGATGGTAGGGTCATCACCGAGACAATCATATAAACACATTGGCTTGTCAAGGCGAGACGATCGGAGCATGCGCCAGCGCTGTTGGCTTGGACAAAGGCTGAACTTTTTTCTCATGTAAACGCTCGCTAATGTTTTCTCGGCTGGGAGGGTGACCCTCTTCCCCGGTAAAAACGTTTCCCCATGTAAACGGGGCCTTGCTAGCGTAGATACTTTAGATTGTGTTTGGTTAACTTTCTTTTAATAGAAAGTTTCTAAAGACATACCATTGACGCTTTTAAACTTGGTCGTCCAATGAAATTGCACATAAGCGCTGTTTTTAGGCAGTAGAGCACACAAATAACACCTTACACCATTTCATTGAGTTACAAAACCAACATGAACAAAGATGGTGGGTCCTACGTGTGTATTAATTACAATCGTTTACAATTTTGCGCCTCTGCACGGTTTTACTAATCTCGCAGGCTTATAACAATATCAACAGATACCTCTTATTTCCATATTTCTGTAATTAAAAGCTTTTTTTTAAAGTTTATTGATTATCATGATTATTATTTGTTTTTTAATTGCCTGTCAATTTAAAATTTATCGCTGGCAAAGCACTTCTGCTGACATTTCAGGGACGGCGGAGCGCAATTTCAACTTGCTAGGGCGGGGGACTGCGCTTGAAAACTCGCACTCGTTACAAGGCTGGTCTCCTCCTCCATAGGCTCGGAAATGATGTTTTCAACACTCTCCATGAGACATTTCCCTAGACAACCTCAACCTGGATAAGGTGTAAGATGACAGGTACTTCCACTGCTTACAGCATGTACCTTATAACTTAAACAAAAACATTTTTCCTCTAGAAATGTGGGGGGCAGCCCCCCCCCCCCCCCCCCCCCCCCCCCCNGCTCCTGCGTTCCTGTATTTTCAAGTGTAAAATCCAAATATAGGAAAAGTCTCGTACTGAATTTTTATACTTTGCATTCTCGATTGTTAAAGTACTTGACGTACTAAAATATTAATATGTCAGTTGAATATCACAAAAATGCATGCGTCATGATGTTTCCTTGTGTGATGGTTGTCATTTTCCTGGAGGTGTCATCACCAACTCTCTCCAATCTTTAGATCCTTACACTGCACGAAAAATTGGATTTACACAAATTTACTCGGAGTAAATATGGTGCAAAAAAGTGCAAACTAGGGGGAAATTAAAAGCAAAGATGGTAAATACCGCATTTGCTGGCCAGTTTACATGGGGGTGTAAATTTTAGGGCAAATGCGGTATTTACCATCTTTGTCCTTTATTTAACCTTAGTTTACACTTTTGTGCACCAAATTTGCACTGAGTAAATTTGGTGTAAATCCAATTTTTCGTGCGGTGTTATGAGAAGGGACCGAATTGGACAAACAAACCTCGCGTGAGTTGCTGTTTGTTATGGATTTGCAAAATGAATACCTGTACTCTCGAGCGTTAAACTGCTAGACGTTATAAAATATATTGCAATTGAACATCACAACCATGAATGAGGCGTCATTTTTTAGTAATCTAAATTGTCAATGTCTTTCATTGAATCTGGGAGCCAGTCTGTGGCCTTGTTTGGGTCATGTTATCTGATTTTGATTGGGATTTATCTCCAGCAATTCTTTCAAAGCTTTCATTTGTCTATTTCTGCCTTTTTGTGTCGATCTATGAGCCTTCATTTAAGTTTTAATGCCGCAATAAAAGTGCTTCAAAATACTGGCCTGTCGAGATATCGCGTGCATTTTGAATGCAATATCACAACATTGCCCTTGTAAGCTGACTGCTGCATGAAATCAATGCTGACACGGTTCTTTGTTACATATTTACTTGGTCAATCACTCAGACAGATTTTATTTTGTATCTCTCACTGTTTTCCAAAGGATCGCCTTAACCCCTTTTTCAGAACCAAGGTAGGTACAATATGGTGACTATTTTGTTGTCTGTCCCGAAAGCAACAGCTAGCGGCATTTAATTTGTGGCTAGATGAACGTACGATTCTACTAAAAGTATATTTGCCTATGATATTTGTGTTTGTTTAAGTGACCGTTAATGAAAAGTAAAGTAAGATGAATTCCATCCACGGCTACTCCGTTATACATAAGATTTCTGTCATATTTTTTATTTGTATGAAAACGTATTCACCTCGTGTTTAATAGTACATTGGCGAAGGATAATTATGCAAGAGGAGGAGGCCATCCATATCAGACGTCATCGTTCAACCCTATATTTAAAGTTATACATACACTTCCCCAAGCATCAATTATGTGTTGATGTTTTCTTTAAGTAATAAATATATAAAACAGAAGTGAAGAAGTGTTTTTAAAAAGTTAATTATACATGTATATGTAGAGCATTTTTCTGATCGCTGGTACTCCGCTACTTAACTTAACAGACAAGCCATATTTTTTTGCTTTATTTTTGAAGCGCCTTAACAAAGTGGCAAGCCTTCTGCCATTTAACCATCCAAAAGGGTCGGACAGGCGCGAAATAACTGAAATGAAGATCTAAAAAGGTGCCGTTTTGCCTTTACTTTTTCTAACCATCGTCTAAACACGTTAACAAAACAGTACAATATGATCAATTATTATATAATTATATAATATAATAAATAGTTTTCTATTTTAGCGATCTTTGGCCTGAGAGGAGCGGCAGAAAACCTTAAAATGGTTTCGTCTTATTTTATGTTTTATTGCTGCGCATTACATTAAAATATGAGTGTGAAGTTAAATTTTTAAAGCAAGTAAGATTCAGTAGCTCGATAGACCTGGATACAAATACTTCAATAAAATATTCTGCCATCTATGTTTTTCCTTAAATTTAGAACTAGGGTGGTAAAAAGCATGAAAACACTGAGCATGGAACGGCTGCTCATTCGATAGCCCAAATCGTAGTCTTCCCACAATCTGATTACAATTTAATTTCTTAAAAACTCCTAGGCTATCAAATGGATATGCCACAGAACAATCGTTTGGAAATTGTCATAAACTCAAAGACCTAATAAAATAATAAGTTATTGGACAACTGAAGCTTTAGGGTAAAAAACCGAGAGAAAAATAATTTTGACTTAGGATCGCTATTGGTGGAAATTGATGACCGGAAGTCATTGACGACAAGATTGTATTTGTATTCTATAAGAAGCAATATTCATTTCACTTCAGTAGATAACAGAATTGACAGTGGTTGTAAACTTTCAGTTTTGACACTAAGATGCATCAGAACTTTTCGTGATTAAACGTGACCAGCGTTTTGATGAAGTGCATCATCCTACTGCCAAAAGCGATCACTGGTGATTAAACTCAGTTCTCTTTGGTTCAATTTTCACCTTTTCTGGATCGAGGCACTTTAAGGCAAACTCATTGTATCGTTATCCCGCACCATAGAGGCTCTATTTTGGCACCACTCTCAATTGGAAAATTATGTTTAGTTTGTAACCTGTTTGTAACTCAGTGCCAGCTGCGTGTTGGTGAGTTGCATTGAGAATTAATTAATTTATTGTTTATTGTTTATTGTTTTGTTTGCCAAAAAATTATACAAATCAAATAAAATCTAATTACCTTAACTCTCATGGCGAGGAAGCCCAAGAGAAGCCACCGGGCTTATAAGGAATGGGCTCCCTCAGTTAGATAATTAGAACAAAATATTATCATAATTACACACGGGAAAAATCAATGGCAGAGCTACAGTAAATCTTAAAATAAGTATATTAGATAGTCGTACTAATCATAGTTCTAGGGTAAAAAAAGCGAAATGACAAAAAGAAAAAAAAACAAAACAAAACAAAACAAAAGAAAATAAAAGAGCAAAGGAAGAAAAAAAATACATATATATATATATATATATATATAAATTACTATTTATGATAAGAGGAATGCTTTCAGCTTACAGCAAAAGGAAGCGGTACTTGTTGCATTTCGAATTTCAAAACTAAGAGAGTTAAAAAATTTAGGACCTTGGAAACTGATGGAGAACTTTCTTATATTAGTCCTGCATTGTGGTAAATAAAAATGCTCCGAACTTCTAGTGCCATAAGAATGCACCTCGCGTGTCACCAGAAACATGTTATTGAAGCTATAAGGAAGTAAGCCAGATCTGTATTGATACATAAATTTTCCTATTTGAAGTTTGTAGATACTCTCAAGATTCAGAATTTTTAAATTTTTAAATAAGGGGTCAGTGTGAGCATCGAAAGCACTCCTCGACATTATTCTTACGACCCGTTTTTGAAGTGTGATTAATCTTCTGAGGTTTGATGGGTAAAAATTTATACATTTAGTTCCCAGTGTTGGCTGTGCTCTTAAAGTTGCTGTTGTGAGTTTTCTGTTATTGTATAGGCAGTCGCTATATCATTCTTTTTACCGCATTTTTATGTAATTGTAGTTCAGTGCCTTATGGTATTCCTTTTCTTAGGAAGACTACCTTAAATGAGAGGATAAACGGCTCTTCCAGCAATTCTGTTCACCATGATTTTCAAGAGTATACTAGCGGCGTGCTCGATCATGGTTGGCGTTAATCTGCTTGGCAACTCACTCGTCTGTTTCGTTGTACTTAAAAATAAAAGTATGAGAACAACTATGAACTTTCTGCTTGTTAACTTGGCAGTTTCTGATATGATTGTTGGTTTCTTCTCCATATTCAGGTGAGTCTGTTATAATAGTAGCGAATTTCTTATTCAGGGAAATTTTAAAGCAAAGGCGACAAGGTAAAGGCAGTGTAAATATGTCACATTTGAAGTTCAATCATGTCACGATTTCCCAAACGTAACTCCATCGTGATTACTCCATCTCGCTAAATTAGTCAAACGTAGGCGAATTAATTCTGCAAATTTATAGTTCCTAAGGACTTATTTCAAATTAAGAAAGACAGAGAAACTGGACACGATGACAGCGAAGAAACGGTCGAAAAAAAAAAAGGATGCACAGGCTGCTACAGGAAAATGGCGAAATCCTAGACCCGAAGGCGAAAGTTAAAAGTCCAAGACAGGAAGAAGCACGCAAAATCGAAACTTAGTAAATCATCGAAAAAAACTTCCGAAATGGAGATTGGATGACAACAAAAATACCATGGCCCACATTTTTTAAGTAGCATTTGCTACCCCAAAAGGGATTTTCACCTTGTCGCCAAGTTAATGTTGTTTCATGAAACGCAACATATTTGTAGCCTCAGTTGTCATCACTGCCACTCTGTTTTCTCCGCCCACAGTTTAGGAAAATCTTTGAGCATGATTTTAATAATTTTATCCATAAACATCTATGAAATCACTTACTGATCTTATATCTTTCCTTATTTGGCAAGTCTCATGGCTTTCAGGGGAAAATGTAGAATATGTCTTCTTTCGTTCCATCATCATTATCATCACCATTTTCATCATCGTTATCATGGCGATCATCACGTTCATTATAGCTGCGCGTCCCTTTGAAATAAACCTATGCATGATATCTATTAATCTTCACGTTCGGTTCTCCCTCGCCGTTTGAGATAACACTGTCCAACATACAGGTTCTACGTTTTTGAGCCGACTGGAATAGCTTCAGATAGTTTACTCACGCTACCCTCTAGCCATTCCCCTTTCATCCTGATTCGTCTTCTATAACAATTTGTAAGAAAGGGAACATTTCTTTCAAAAACTAAACCGTGCGATATTTTTTCGCATATATCATATTTTGAATTTTAGGTTTCTTTTAAACAACCCTTTTGAGAGTCTACACGGTACTGCTGCCCATGTGATGTGCACACTGTTAACTGGTGGAAACCTCATGTGGACTGGACTTTTAGCATCTGTATTATTTTTGGTTTTGATTGCTGTCGAAAGATATCATGCCGTACTACATCCTCTACATCATCAGAGTGGATTTGTTGTCACAAAACTGAAATCCATTGTAACAGTATTGTGGATCTATGCTTTCGTCTGGCAAATTCCAGCGTTTTCCTTCTTTCGTTATAGCAATGAAGTCAAACAATGTGTCCCAGCTTGGCCAGATACTTTTGGTTACGTCAGATCTGTTTGGTGGGTCATCTCAACTGCTGTTATTCCTGTAATTATGATGGGATATCTTTATACGCAGATTGTGCTCAGAATATGGAAAACTAACTCTCCCGGAGTAGTAGGAAATGGAAAAGTAAGGTAAATTGAACTCACGGTCATCTGCTTGATTCAAATATTGGTTAGGAGAATTCTACTAGCAAAGGTATCTGACATTCAACCAATATAATGAGGGCAAATAAACTATAATTATAACAGCACAGTAAATGGTAAAATAAATATCATATTATCCACTCCCCTAAGGGCTTTTCAGGGATAATTTACAACACTGGTTGGGGGACTTTGACAAGTAATGAAGGAATAAGCAATGATGCCCCCATACATGACTGTGAAAGGAGACTATTCAAGGGCCAGGGGGCTGGAGAAAAGAAAACTCCCCCAACCCCGCCCACGAGAGCTTGGTCGCAGGCTAAGGTACAATAAGCAAGGCAAACACCCATTTAATTTGTTAACCATATTTATTAATTGATAGAAGCGAAAAAATTCATTTCACGTTCCGTTGACATCAATGAGAAGAAATTATAATTGATGGGAAATCACTGTCACTACTCGTGAAATATGGCGAAAAGTTTTTTGAGCGTTTTGTCAATAATTTTTATCAATTTTCGGAGCCTTTTCACTCGTCACCATTTGATTGGTGATTGGCTGAGGTACTTGAGTAGGAAAAAACCGTTCTTTGCCTAAATGACAATTTTTTCCCAAAAGCCGTTGGAAGTCCCAGCCTCACTGACCCTCTCTCGTACTCTCCCTCTAATACGCTTGTTCGAGAAAAATATGCAAGTAAGAAAAAGATAATCACCTTTTAACAAAGCAAAATGAAGGATTATTGAAGGTTACAGAGGAATTGTTGAGAAAAATGAATAAGAAACAAATGGCGTAGAGCTATAAAAAGAACTGCGATCGTCCTAAAATCGGTGCATATTGTAATAAAAGTAAAAATTGCTAATATACCTCTGGGTGTCCAGAGGCTTACGTAATGATTTTTGTTAGCTTTTACGCCTCTTATGGTGCATTATTTTGCGACCAAACCGCCTCCCAAGAAGTTTTTCGTCCCTCATCTTGGCAGTTGTTTACCATCCTCACTGGACCAAAGACGAAAACGATTCTCTGCGAGATCAGTTATTTCAATCTATCTCGCTAGCTGAATCGCGACACGCTAATTTTGCACTCATTGTAGCTGGTGATTTAAATCGCCTTGAAATCAAGTCACTCAAGAAACAGTTTCGTCTCAAAAAATTGTTAAAAAGCCTACTAGGAAGAATGCCATACTCGATCTAGTTCTTACGGGCTTGCACAAAATATTACGACGAGTCGCGTTCATCCCCGCCCTTCGGCCTCTCAGATAACAACAAAGTTACAGCAAAAGCTAGAGTGACAAAAAGTGGTCAAAACCCCATAAAGTTAATGCTCAAGCGCGGCACGCGCGCCAAGTCGCAAAGCAGACTTGGGGAGACATCTGAGTGTTATGGATTGGCCCACACTGTTTTCCTTTCTTGACTGCTGTAACGATATGCTAAAGGTGTTCTACAAAGCACTGCGCACAGAACTCGATCCGCTCATGCCCGTTAAGAGGGTGCGTGTGAACACATCTGATCATGACTCCCGTGGATGACCCAGCACCTGAAATCGCGTATACTTAAAAGGCAGAAGGGCTTTCAAGAATACGGTATTAAATCAGCTCAGTTTAAGTTCTACCATAACGCAGTCCACCGCGAGCGAAAATCATGTAAAGCTGTCTTCTTTAAAACCAAGGTACAAAGCACGAAAGAAGAAGACCCAAAGGCATGGTCGAGAGAGGCAAAACGTTTTTCTGGTGTACGCGCACATTCTGGGGCCTTGTGTAACCATATTCATGGGGAGGGTACTGATAAACCATCTCCACAGGAACTGGCGAACGCTATCAATGAGGCGTTTCTAGAACCAATGGAAGAATATCGTCTGCCCCCACCTCCCGGTGGTGTCAGAGTTATGCATTGGGAGACTCTTAGCAAAATTAAATCCGTCTAAGGTGTGTGGACCAGATGAAGTACCCAATTGCTGGCTACTGCGAGAGCGACCTTCTCGCTTACTCTGTATGTAGTATGATTAATGCCTCCCTAAAAGAACGGCCCCTTCCTATCATCTAGAAGTAAGCAGATGTATCCCCACTACCCAAGAAAAAGAAGGTTGAGGATTTGACAAAACATCTGACATCAATCTCCGTTACCGTCTGTTTATCGAAAGTCTCTGAGGATTGTGTCGTACACGATTACATAAAGCCTGCTGTCTCAAGGTCGTGGACCCGAATCGGTATTTTGCGGTACCTAATTCGTCCACCACACAGGCCCTCGTACACATGGTCCACAGCTGGGCTTAAGCAACAGACGGCAATAACGCTACGATCAGGACTGTGCTATTCGATTATCGAAAAGCATTCGATCTAATTGACGACAGGATACTTGTTGATAAATAATTCAAATTAGTTCTACCAACCAGAAAAAACAACTGGATGATTGAACTTCTGTCCGGTCGTTCTCAGCGGGCTAAGCTAGCTGAAGGACTACTACAAGTAGGGCTCTGTCCCTTTCTGGGGTCCCCCAGGGGACAAAGCTAGGGCCTTGGCTTTTCCTTATTTTGATCTATGATCCAAGTCTTAATGGAAATTTCACGTCTAGCTCTGGAAGTATGTCGATGACACGACAACGTTAGAAGTTGTCGGAAGGGTGATATTGTTGAAGGGTGGTGCGAGTAATGCACAACGTATAGCAGACTGCAGTGTAGCTCAGTGGTCCTTAGATAATAGGGTCCAACTGAACAGCGAAAAGTGTAAAGAACTTAGAGTCTCTTTCACTAAAAAGCAGTCTGAGTTCCATCATATTCTTGTAAATGGTAACCAGCTTGAAGTAGTTAGAAGCGCAAAGCTGCTGAGTGTGATCATGGTATGAGCACGTTAACGAAACCGTAAAGAAGGCGTCTGAACGTTTGTATTTCCCAGTTCAGCTTAAATGGGCAAGGTTCCCTGTAGGAATTTCATCCTCTCTTATGTCACATGTAGAAGATCAATCCTAGTTTATGCAGCACCTGTATTCTTCTATGCTCTGCCCAAGTATTTACGGTGCGAGCTGGAGCGGATCCAGGAAAGGGCAATGCCCAGTCTGTCTCATAACGTGGCACTTAAGGAAACTGGTATTCCAACCATTATTTCATATTGAGAGAAAATATGTGACACGGTTTTTAACGCTGCCCTCGGCAACAAGGATAACAAACTTAACAAGTTATTAACTGAAGCCAATAAGGCTCCAAATGCACTAAGAAATCAGCGACACTTTGGACTTCCAAAGTGGAACACAGACCGTTAAGAACACTTTAATTAATTTCTTTTGTCATCGTGCCTAAAGTACAATTAAATGATTCGGTTTTAATGCTTTTATATATTATATGCAAGAATTTTTAATATTGAGATATTGTAAATTATTCAATTTTTAGCTTAGCTTTTTTGTAAATAAGTAATTCAGCCACTGGCTGCCTATTTATTTATTTATTTATTTTAATAAACTATCTATCTATTAACCAGTGCGCCCCAGTGACTTATGAAGACTCCTCCCATCCCTCGCCCAGCTACCAGCGGTCCCTCCGGCGTTTGGATGTCAAAAACAGCAACGTTATAGCGGCTGATTTAAAAAAAAAAAACAAAAGAAGCACCACCTATTTTCTTCTGCAAAAGATGAAGCGGAGAATATACCAAATAGGATTCAGTATTGAAGGGAAAATAAGTTTTCTACGTTTTTCTCTGATTATGTTTTTTCTTCATTTAATAGCCAGAGTTGGTGCTTTTATTTGTTCAGTTGAACTAAGTTTCTACTTCTTTTATAATATAATTTTGTTATACCGTTTGTTCTTTATCAGGAGAAAGATTACACGCATGACCTTGATAATCAGCGTCATTTACATCCTTACTTGGATCCCAAACAGCGTCATTTTTCTGCTACTTCGGTTCACTGACCACGTGACACCTAACTCGCCAGTTGATCAGCTTGGAATTCTGCTTGTCACTTTTAACTCGTGTGCATGCTGTTGTGTAAGCCACGTTTTTCGAGAAACGCTATTGCTCCGGTGGCGTACGCCACCACCCACCAGCGTGTAGAACAAGACGTGGATGTCACATCATACGATAACGAAGATTTTGTAGAGAATGGGCTTGAATACGGTTCTCAGTTGGAAAGAAGTCGTCAGAGCGTTTCAAACGAGTCAACTTCAAGTTGTAGACAGAATTAGTGATAAAGATACGAAAGAGGTTAATGTCAAAGTGATATTTTATTTTTTGCCCCAACAGCTAATAGGATGATTGTAACACCAGAGTTCATTGAAACTGTTGATTCAGACGTCGCATGTCAAAGCAGTTACCTCTCGAATTAAATTAGGCACATGTGAAATTCGACGTTTGAAAGGGTAATGGTAACAGTGTCCAGTATTACTAGGAACAAATTTTACTATAAAGTCCAGACTCTGATTCCAAATATTACCCAGTTACCTATAAATGTCTTGATCAATGAACTGATGAACTCTTCTAATTACTTTATCAATATACAATTCATAAAATATATTTCAGCTTGTTTTGATTTTCGGGACAAATTATTATCAAAGTAACGTAATTGTCCTGTGTTGTAATTATGATTCCTAAACATAGCTTTTGCAATACTGAATGTGTTTGTATGGTCATGAAAATAAAGCTCGTTGTTGTACTATAAATACCGTTAGATACGCTATGTTACATATGGCATCTTTTATATTCCTGTCAATTTTGCTTTCAATCTACCACATTATGTTACTAGCTATATGCACCGCACTGGTAAAAAAGAGAGTACAAAAGAAAAAAAAAAGGGTCACGAAAAATTTGCTTCAAGGGATTCGAACCCGTACCCTCCAAATAGGACTGAAAATGAACATCTCAATCCACTGGACCACCTAAGTAGGCGCCGACAATTGAAGCTTAAAAGAGGTATATATTCCTTCCTTATGGTGATTGACATTTTCAAGGATGACTTTTTCGGTTTCCATGTAGAATTAAATCTCAAACTGATCGAAGTCAGACGTAAATCTCACAATAGACCCATTACTACTCTTTCAGGCTTGGTCTATGCCGCGGAATGTTTAAGAAATTTGTGAACTATCGATCTCGCGGCTACTGACTGAAAACTATGACCATACGATTCTCTCCGTGCTCGTAAGTTGTCTTTTCATCGGTCGGGGAAAACAGTAACAACATTGTCTATCATTATTTCCAGTTTTAGGTTAGAGTAGCAAACCATTTGGCTCAGCGTTAAAAGAACTGCTGCATGATCTCTCTCCCCAGAATGAAGAAAAACAATATGGCCGCCAAATACATCCGTTTAGCTTTGAACGTTCTCCTTTATTAACAAACGTTGAACATATATTTCGGCAAAGAAACAGTTAAGTTGAAAAAGGATTTTACAAAAGTCTCAAAAGTAGGTCTCCCTCTCGATTTTAATTTGCAATATCGGTCGATTTACGCCGGAGGGCGGGGGTACTCCCCTACAAGAGGCTAATAGGGATGTGCCGCTGAATGGGGTCGCATTTTCACGACTGGAGTTACCATATTAGGGTCGCATTTTCAATAGATCTACTAGAATGGGGTCGCAAATTTTCGGATTTTTGGAGTAAGTAGGGATTCAAAGTGGGAAGATTCTCGGTTAAAAAATCGGAAAGTAGTTGTTTATTAAATTTAACAATAAGCTCGCATTACATTCCGCTGCTTGAAACCACATTTATAAGGTAGATGCATAAATAGAAAGTGACTAAGTTGGGATCGCAAAAATTACATTTTCCAAAAAGTGACGAAGATGGGGTCTATAATTGGCCAAAAAATAGACTATAATGGGTAGGGGCTCTGAGAGGCCAGCGGCACATACCCAGCGGCACATTAATCCATTTACCCCCCCCCCCCCGGATTTACGCAACTTTTAAACTTCTGGCTCAGTTTTCGTTTTCTTCTATTTTGAAAATGGAATAATAATTACTTAGGGGTAATACAGTGTCAAGATTTGTAGAGAAAAACAACAAAAATTTGCAGATTTATGGGGAAAAATGTACTTTAAAAACGAACTAAAATATTCAAAACGCTTTGATCACGTGACTGATGACGTCATGTCCCTCTTTTGGTAATGAACAAATTGTCAGGTAGAACATTACTTTCCTGCCAATTTTCCCTGCCGTGTGATAAAACGTCAACTCTCTACAGCCCTCGGCCTTAAATTTTAAATTCCGGAAGTAAACTGGTTATTTTTAAATGCTCCAAACAACCAAAACAGGCTCCTGCCAAAACCTCAAATACGCTATTTTACATTAACCCAATGATGAAATCTTGTCACAGCAACAAAAAACCCTAATTCAGAATAGTCACGTGACTGATGACGTCATCACCCTAGATGTGACATGAGGGCAAGTAATTCATGGCAGTCTCCATATAGACTCCCTAATATATTAGTGCGATATTGTATACCCCTATATATCTTATGTGTACCCATGTTTACCCTAGTAATACTGTATACCCTGTATACCCCTATATAACCTGTTTACCCATGTTTACCCTAGTAATACTGTATACCCTGTATACCCCTATATATCCTGTTTACCCTTGACTACCCTAGTAATACTGTATACCCTGTATACCCCTATATATCCTGTTTACCC